CTGGTCAGATCAGAATCTCTAGGAGGAGTTGAATGGAGAGCAGACTTGAGTCGGAGAAACAGAGTGGAGCAGGGAGCTGAGCAACCATTTCAAAAGACTTCGGCAAGCATTCATTTCAGACCTCTGGCAAAAGGCGTCTTTCCCTCTCCATCCACCCAACCCAGCTGGGAAGGGATGGAGAGTCGAAAAGGAGAAGTCTGAGAGAAAGAAATGATGTCCAAGAGAAGGAAGGGGAGGAGAAGGACATATATATTTCTGTCTACCAAAATGGCATGTCCACATACATATATACAAACTCATACTTGTGCAGTAATCTTGCCAAGAAAACCCCACAATAGGGTCGCCATAAGTCGGAAACAACTTGAAGGCACACAACAACATATTAAAAGCCCTGTCCAGCGTTTTGGACAAGTGTGGGTATGCATTTGGTTTTTATTGTTGTAAGCATTCACCAAAAGGGGGTTTTCTTCCTCTGAGGCTGAGAGAGTGTGACTTGCCCAAGGTCACCCAGTGGGTTTTCCACAGCTGTGCAGGGATTCAAACTCTGGTCTCTGGAGTCATAGTCCTATGCTCAAAGTACTATACACACTGGCTTTTACTAAAGGCATATTAAAATGAAGGTGGCAACATTTTTTAAACTACTGAAGTGGCTTGGAGGTGATCTGTTGTTTCCCAGACTTTGGTCCTCCAGATGTTTTGGTCTTCAGTTCCCAGAAGCCCCAGTGAGCTTGGCCAACTGTAAGGAATTCTGGGAGCTGAAGTCCAAAACATCTGGAGGACCAAAGCTTGGGAAACACTGGTTTAAACAAAGTATGATGATAATTAAGGCTTTCGAAGGATCTGCTTTCATCATAAACTAGTATGCACATACACACAAACACACTACTGTACCTCACTTGGGGTAGAGTCCCCATCTTTTCCAGTCAACATGCTCGTTGGGGATGATGGGATCTGCAGTCTAACACATTCAGGGCACATGGGACGGGGAAGAGGTGAGAATCACTCAACTCTCCAGATGTTCTGGGACTGCTGCTCCCAGTAGCCCCAGCCAGTGGTGAAGAATGCTTGGAGCGGCAGTCCGCATAAACAGTAAAAAGCAATGTAGTTTCAACCCCTAAAGCAGTGATTCCCAAGCTATGGTTCTCCAGATGCTTTGGACTGGACTTAGTTCCCAGAATTCCTGATTATTGGCCAAGCTGGCTGGGGCTTCTGGGAGTTGAAGTCCAAAACACCTGGGGGACCAAAGTTTGGGAACCACTGTCCTAAAGCAACCAGTTGTAGTGCCTGCTTCTCAATCCCAGGAAATCTGTCTTTGAATTCCCATCGTCTCCCTTCTTTCCTAAGTCAGAGCTTTGACTTAGGTCTTGAATTTCTTTCTCCCCCTCTTTCTCTCTCGCTTCTTATTTTGTGATTTCATTTTGAATTGTGATTATTTTTCTTGCCTTTGAGGTACGGCCAGATTAGTCGGTGGCTCTGGCTGTTTTCAAGGAGCTGGAGAGAAAGGGAAAAACCTTACAGTCCCAGTGGCAGAAACTCCAGGAGATCAGGGTTGTGCTAAGAATTGGTTCTTCTCCTGCCTGGTTAGAGAAATCCTATTTGATCATTCGGAGGGGCAAGATCTAAGGCCTCCCCTGAAGGGAAGATTAACTTGGAAAGGTCAGGTTTTGAGGAGGGAGGGTTGTGTGAACGTGGGAGGGGGGGAATGTTGTTTGTACAAATTATTTATTTTGAACACCGAGGCTCAGATGGATCATGCTGGTAAAACTTCTAAGACTATAATCCTCGCTATACCAGATAGGGAGCAAGCCAAAAGGCCTTTCTGCAACCAGAAAAAGATGATTTTCTACCAGCTTATGCACTCTGAGGGTGCCATTTTGCTCCTCCAACCACTAGGCCATAAAACCTAACCCCAGTGAATGTGGAGAGCTCTCCTCAAGTCCATTTCTGCCCTCCCAACTACCCTGTGAGGTAGGCCATTTCATCCATTCAGTTGGCCAGCTTTCATTCCAGTTGTGCAGGATGAGATTTAAATAGACTAGAAATGGAAAGGAATGGATGGCCATTCATTCAGTCCTCGTATTTTGTTGTGGTTGTATTTCTCTCGCTTTTCCTTCTGAGAGGTCAAGGTAATGTACAGGCGTCTCCTCCAGCCCACCTTCAATCTCCCAATAACCCTGTGAGTCAGACCGTCCACTCATTAAATTGAATAGCTTTCATTCCCGTTTAATGGGATGAAATGGAATTAAATTGGAAACTGAACTGAACAGATAGCCATTCATTCATTACAGCTCATTCAGTCAGTCTCTCATTTGTTGTTGCTGTTGCATTTCTGTTGCCTTTCCTTCTGAGAGCTCAAGGCAATGTACATGTCTCTCCTCCAGCCTCCTTCCGTCTTTACAACAACCCCGTGAGGTAGGTCAGACATGTAGGGTTGCCACGTGAAATAAAGAACTGGGCTTGCTGTTGTTCACTGCCATCAAGTCAACTTCAACTTATGAATGAGAGACCTCCAGGTCACCCTGTTGTCAACAGTCCTGCTCAGGTCTTGCAAACTTTGGACTGTGACTTCCTTGGTTGAGTTTATCCACCTGGAATTCAGTCTTCCTTTTTTATGAAGAGGCAGGGTTCCTGTATCCTCAGGTGTTAGTTGCCATGTAAGCAACATCTACTGAAATGCCATTTTCTATGCAACCAGTGGAAAGCGAGCATAGTGTGGTGGTTGGAGCATTGGGATACAACTCTGAATCATGGGCATGGAAACTTACTGGGTGACCTTGGCCAAGTCACACACTCTCAGCCTCAGAGGAAGGAAATAGTAACCTCCTTTCTGGCCAAGAAAACCCCATGATAGCTTTGCCTTAGGGTGGCCATAAGTCTGAAATGACTTGAAGGCACACCACCCCAACATGCAACCATAAAAGGGATAGGAGGCCTGCTTTTGTATTTCGCTTGGCAACCGAAGGCATCCCAACCATGGGTCAAAGTGGGAACTAGAACCCAGATTGCTCAAGTCCAAAGCACCAACCATCACACCATACTGGGTAACAAAACCAAATCCAAAATGAAATCCTCCTAGTTGCAAGTTCCATCCTGATTTTGTATTCCCCACATCTCATTCCTCCTGTTTTTTTTCCCCTGCCACCGAGCCTGATGAAGAATGCAAGAGAACTTGACAGCTTACACACCGTTTTGTGCCAATAACAAAGCCATTTCCCAGCCTGTGGATTGCTAAAAGGTAAAACCCAGGAGAACTTACTTTGAAATCAACAAACATGTTGGGTCAGAGCCGACACAAGGCCTTTCCATGAGTTCCCCAGAAAAGGACCCCTGCCCTTTCCTGTCATGGCAGTGCCTTGAAACCTCCAATGCAAACATGAATTGGCCTGAGTTATTACTTGAGAGTAAGTCCAGGGACTTTATCTTTAAAGTAAACACATACAAGATTTTGCTGTAATCCTGTATCTCCTTCCATCAGAAATAATCCTGTCGGACACGCTGGTCTAAATCCAATTGTTTAGTCTTTACTAGAGTAGACCCTTTACCACAATGGGATTTGCATGCATGTTGTGCCGTCACTCACAAATGATTCAATAGGTCTACTCTAGTGGAGGCTAGTAGTTGAGTTCACACCAAAGGGACTTTAGTTTTAATTTTAATTTTTAAAGTCAAGTGGGCTCTTGAGACTGACTCACTGCGTTGTCAACCTTGGCTCAATGCTATGTATCTAATTCTAAAGAGATCAGACCTGATTTCTTCTTGTACCCATTTGTCATTTATTCCCCCCCCCCC